CAGGATGGTGATGACCACTTCCAAGGGCTTCAGTAAGGATCAAAACCAAGGTCATTCACATGTAGGTCTGAAACATAATCAAGTTGGCCCTCCGACCCTCAGATCCAGAATGGGTTCCCCATCTGCAATTTCAACCATGGATTAAAAATATTTGGGGGGAAAAAGGTGGCATCTGTAGTGAACATGTACAGACGTTAATATGTTATATTAGGTATTACGAATCTAGAGATGATTTAAATTCATACATGAGGGTATATGTAGGTTATATGTGAATATTGTGCCTTTTTATATAAAGGACTTAAACATCTGGGAATTTTGGTATTTACAGAGGGTCCTAGGACCAATCCCACATGGATACAGAGGGATGACTATTTAAGAGATATTTCCAGTATTTTAATTATAGAGTTGTGAAACTTTTGTCAGACACTTCCCTGAAAGTCCATTTTCTAAAACAGAATAAAAATGAAGCTCCTGTAGGGTGAAATGGGGATGTGGAAGCCTTGAGTTCACTCACTTTCCCCCTACCCTGTGTAGTCTCCCTGGAGGACTTCGAGGAGAAACTTCTTGGGGCTCTAAGGGGGCCTCCTTCCCCCCAGCTGAACCTGGGCCCCAGACAGGTTGTTTAACCTTCCAGCCCTCAGTTTCCATATCCATCAAGTGGACAGGCCAGATCAAGATATTCTTCCGCCAGTGGGGACCGGCAAGTGGCGTGGTGGTTAAGGCACTGGACACTCCCACATGACTGACCATGGTTCAAGTCCCGGACCTGGTGGGTTGCTTTCTCACTTCTCTCTCTCTCTCTCTCTCTCCCCCTCTCACTAATCTCTCATCTCTCATCTCTCATCTCTCTGGCCAAATTTAAATGAATGAATGAAAAAAAAAGATATTCTTCCCTCAGTTCCTATGGACAGCGCCTTTCAGAGGTCTTTGGGATCTGTAGTATTTCATGTTTTGTTTTGTTTTGTTTTGTTTTGTGGCCTCTGAAGAAATTATGTAATTTTATTTGCATTTTTTCTTATTTCTTAATTGAGAGAGCCCCCTGACAGGGTTCTAACACTGCAGTCTACCCCCAGCCTCAGCCAGCCTGGGTCATAGGCACATGTGTGCACAGCATACTCAGGGAGGTCTCTGGATACGAACTGGCCACCTTCCCATGTGTTTCACTGCTGCACCACTACCCAGCCCCAAGGCATAGAGGGTTCATGATCACCCACACAGGAAGGAGTGCTGTATGGATTTCTGAGATCTTTTCCTGTTCTATTAGTCTGTTGCAAGTGACAGAATCTCTCCAATTCCAAGTGACTTAAACTACCGAAGGACTTAGTGGCTCAGGGATCTAGACATCCCACAGCAGCCCTGACTAGAGACACTACTCAGGTATTCTCTTCAGGAATGTGCCCCTTTTCACTTCTGGACTCTCTTGACTTCATTCTCAGCTGCTGCTCCCTTTCGCCCCCACCTTCCCCTGAGGAATGACTGTATGAGAGACTGGTTTTCCGTGTGTTGAAATACAACCCCACTACCACCACCCTCTGCGGCATGTCAAAGAAGCCCTCAGCAGTCCTGCCTCACATCCCTTCTCTTTCTCCCAGTAATTACAGCAAAATGTCCAGGCCTGACTCTGGCCCTGCTCAGATCATATGTCTCTCCCAAACCAATCTCTGTGGCTGAGGCGAAGAAACATTCAGGCAGGCTAGGAGTCAGGCCAGGGTCCTCCTCCACCCACTCTCTCCTCTGGGAACCTGCTCTTGGTGTAAACCCATGGGAAGTGAGATGCTCAGCCTGTGAGTGTAGCCTGTGTGACCGAAAGGCCATGACCTTGGGTGTGCTGGATTCACCACAGCAACTTCAAGGGCGTCTTCCCCTCCCAGGTGGTATGAAGTGGAGTTCTGGGATTCCCAGGGTCCTGGCTGAATTCCCAGCCCTGTATCACTCCTTCGCTTCTGTTTCTACAACCCTTGGCCTTTTGCTCTATACGGTGTGAGGAACCGAGACTGATGGCCGTCTACGACGTCCTGTGGGCAACGGGAAGTGGTGGTACGGGGTGCCACTGCACATCACTGCAGACCTGCCTTTAAAGAGCGATATGCATCACTGTGGAGAAAGAAAGGTGGGGAATTACAGTGGCAAAAAAAAAGTAATATCCATTGCAATTTTAAAAGGCAGCTATTAAAATTTTACAAGAGTTTCATTGCAGGGTCTTTCTGATCATCCCCAGACTGCTTTTAATGGAAAGCCTGGTAATAAAGGAAAAATGTTCTGGGTACTCTTGGTTCCTTCCTCTTGCTGCAAAATATCTTGAAATACAAAATCGTTAGGGCTTCACAGACCAGCATAGGGAGAGCAGCTGCCCAAGAGGCTATTTCTGAATTTTTAAAAAGTGTATGTTTTTCTGTATTTGCTGTTTCTATGTATAGTAACTCTTTCTAATTTTATTTGTTCTTTCCTAAATGGCCTGGTAGTGAGCCATGAGAATTGTCAAGCATGGCAGTTGCCTCTGTCCGTCTATGTCAGTTAAGAGTTATTTGGTTGGGTGAACAAATAGAAATTCAGGTCAGCATGCTTAAGTACAGAAGGGAATGTATAGACCTACAGCCTAGGCGATTCTACTCTTAATAGCTTCAGGCATGGCTGGATCCAGAGCCTCAAATGAGGTTGCCAGAACGCCATCTCTTCTACCTCTCAGCTATGCGTTTCTGGGTTGGTTTTATTCTTGCGCAGGCTCTGAGGCAGCCCCTGTAGCTCCATAGTAGATCCAACCAGTTTAGCAGCCCCAGGGGAAATAAACCATCTCATTCCCCAGGATTCCCTGGTTCTGGTGTGTATGGGCTTTGTGCATCCTATCTAAGTTATCTGGACATCTCTGAAAGTAGCTTCATTAGATCATGTGACCACTTGTATCCCAACCCATGGTTGGGATCATCCCACAGGAATTCCACAGGCTGACTGGAAAAGGTGAGGTTCAGAGTGCTGACCCAAGAAGAGAGTGGATACAGGGTGGGCCGAAAGAGGCAATGCCAAAACTGACCCCTTCTCAGCTTAGTTCACGAAGCTGCATCTGTCCCACGTTCCGTAGTAGCTGCCTTCCCTTGGAATCGTTCCACCTTTGCACTCTCTCAGCTCTAGTTTAGGAGTTCTCGATCTTGGATCCTTGGGCCCTTGAAAAGTGGCAGTTTAGATGACTGTCAATTGCGTTACTATTTTGTCTACCATCTAACTGACCATTTCCTTTCCTTGTGCATTAAGGCAACAAACGACAATTGTATTAACAGCACCAGTGACTCAGTTGCTACCAGACATCACAGATATTTTTATCTCACATTACAATTGCAGATACTCTGAAATGCCACTTATATTCCTGTATTTCTAGATTATTGTAGTTATTGGACTCATCACTAGGTCTCATCATTGAAAGCATTAATAAAGAAGCATGAGTAGTACCATCTCCCAGATGTGAGTTGTTTTACTGGTATTTTGAGATCTGAATCTAATTGATTCTTTGTCATCTCGAATATTGTGTTTTGTACACTTAAAAACATGGTTCTGAGATATTCACACCCTTCTTCACCAGCTGTCCTAGGAGTCCCTGGCATGAGAAAGCTTAAGAACCATTTTGAACTTCTCCAAGAACCCCTGGAGACAGGGTTTATTGAAGGTATCCTGATTCCTGGACTCCAGAAAGTCAGATAGCTGCTTGTTAGGTTTTCCTCCAGGGAGGCTTCTAGGAGGAGCTGAGTGGCATTTGAGGTTGGCCTTGGTGTTTTGGGCAGGGAGGCATGGCCAGAGTGCAGTTAGCTCTCCCTTCGTAGACCTCATAATGGTATGGTCCAGGCAGACTGCCTGGGTTCATATCCTGGCTATAGCAAACCTTTGTAAAGTTAATTTACTTATTTCTTCCATGAATGAGAGAGACAGACAGCACCTCCAGTAGGATCTTGACACGAGAATCTACCCCCTGCCTCAGCCAGCTCCAGATCACGTGGACACATGTGGGTGCATACTTAGGGAGATCTGCAGACACAAATCTGGAACCTTTCCATGTGGGTCAGCCTCTTGGAGCTGCAGTATACTTTTGACTGGCCGGGTAGCCTGGCCTAGTGGGGTCCTTCCCCACTCTGTGCCTCAGTTTCCCATCAGTATCATGGAAGTTATTAATAGTGTCTACTTCTTAGGGTGATTGGAGCAATATAAACAGTCAGTGCACGTCTGCTGTTGCAGAGCCAGCACGCTGGGAGTGAGGGTCATTAGCTAGTGGCCATTCTGTATAGGACAGCTGAGGTTGTCTTCTCAGAGCTCTTCTCCCTGACCTAGGGCTCGGCCTGTGCTGACACCCGCAATGTTATGGTGAATAATAGAGACAGTGGCTTCTCAGCCTGGAGACACGTATTCATCCATGAAATATCCATTCAAATGTAACAAACCATACTAAGTATTCAAAAACATAAATTTGTAATATAAAGACACCAATCAAGACAAGTGCTATTTCCCTGTCATTCCTCTGCTCACAATTGTCAGAAGGAAATGTCCTTATAATAGCCTCCATTTGCCCCAGCACGCCCCCGCCCTCATCTCCCACCACTTGCCTCCTCACGCTGGGCCAGCACATGGGCCTCCTGGCTGCTCCTAAAATGCTGCACACACACTGCTGCCTCGGGGCCTTGACACAGGCTGTTGCTGTGGCCTACAGGGCTCTTTCCCAGGTTGTCACACAGTTTGTGGTCTCACGTATTCAGGTCTGTGTCCGCTCTCTGAGTGCTCTGTGTGAAGTAGCATATTTTTAAATCCAGGACTTACACTCTCTGGCTTTGTATTGTCCTCCCCAGCTACTAGAAAGTTCACTCCCTAAGGACAGCAACTTTGTCTTGACCACTAAGTACCTGGCATATAGCAAGTGTTTGCTAAATATTTGTTGAGGGAGTGTATACGTGAATGCCATGAATATTGCAGCGGGAAGGTGCAGGTTGGCCAAAGACCTAACCTCCTTTTTCCCCTTTGCATAGATGCACAGTCTTTGACGACGGCTCTCCTGAGATCCTCAAGGAGCATTAGTGTCCAGAATACACTAAGGGTGAGTACAGCATGGCTGTCTGCTTGCTTAAATTTTACAACTAATGCACAGAAGCATCTTTATTATTAAAAAAAAAATTATACAAAAGAATATCAAGGGAAATACGGCAGTTTCCTTCACTGTCCTTCCCCTCACCCACAAGCCTGACATCTTCCCTTAGAGGTAATTACTGTCAGTCATGGGATTGAGTATCCTGCCAGACCTTTTCCTCCATAAATATTCCTACTTTGTGTGTGTGTGTGTGTGTGTGTGTGTGTGTGTGTGTGTATTATATACACATACACTTACTCTTTTAGTTTGCTATGTCCAAAATGGGAACCACACTATGTGGATGCTTCTGCAGCATGCTTCCTGCTTTCCCTAGCAGTAACGTGTCTTAGAGGTCTTTGTTCATATGTGTACTTCAGTATATCATGTGTGTACACACATGCCACACATGTGCTCTCTCCCTCTTTCTCTCTCACTCTTCTTTTTTAAAACATTTTTTGGGGGGAAGAAAGGGTGGCTACAGGACATGTCCACTAGCCAGAGAGAAACAGAGAAAGAGAGAGGGGAAGTGAGGAATCATCACCCTGGGAGGATTGCCATGCCACTATCCCTTCTTCATTCTCCTCTTGAGATTTTGGGCATGCACGTACATTGGGTCTGGGACCTGAATTGCTCAGTCAGCTATGTGGAATGCAACTGCCCTTCACCATGCCATCGGCTGGCCCTGTTTTTTTTAACTGTTTCGTTCCATTTTAAAATATATGTAGACTCAGATTCACTCTGTGGCATACAATTCTTTGAGTTTAGACAAGCATGTAGAATTATGAAATTGCCATCACCATCCAGATTAAGAAAAACCCCATCACCTCTGTGTGTGAAATGCTGGGTTTTTTTCTACAGATTAAAAATATAATGTTGGTATTTACACATAATCAAAATATGTACACATAGTAAATACTTAATCTGTAATATAAGGATTTCAAGTGTGTTATATTTCAGTTTGTGAAGGTTATTTTGTTGTTTTCTTGCTGGCGAACATTCTGTTTTGGGGGAATGGGTTCTAAGTGGCATGTTATTCCAGTGTGTAGTGAGACTTTCTCACATAAGAATGCCAACCTTGTTGGCAAGTGCTTGGGGTGTGTGTGTGGGGGGGAGGTGTTGTCTGATCTCTGAAGGACCAAGAGACTCTTACAGCGTGGAAAGTGAGAGAGTGGAAGATTCAGGCTTTCAGGTAGTGGTATTGACTAATTGCAAACTGGCCAGTGGAGCTGTGGGAACCAAGTGAATCTAGATGGACCTTCTCTCTTGGCTGTCTTATTGGGTCTCATCATATTCTTTCATCCTGGCAAAGCTCTGCCTGGATACCTAGAACTTGTCAGGTATCCAGGTGTACTTGTCATGGGACAGCCTCAGGGAGCCACATTTCAATCAAAAGATGCTTCTTAGCATAAGTCTTTATTTATTTTTTTATTTTGAAGTAAATTTTAGTTACAGAGATGTTGCAAAAATAGTACAGAGTTAACACATTTACCCTTCCCCCAGCTGCCCTTCACTTTCCGTCTTATGCACTGTCGCACAATGATCAGAACCAGCTATATTAGCTAAGTTATAGACTGTAATCAAATCTCACTAGTTTTTCCACTGATGTTCTCTTTCTATCTTGAGATCCATCTTGGACCCCAATCCCAGCCCTCTAGTTTTGTTTTTATACTCAAAGTCCCTGTAATTGTCACTTGGTAACGTATCTGAGGGTGCATGGCCAGAGAACTAGGGCATGATCACGTTCTCTGCTAGTGATGTACACTGCCTTATGTCATAAACAGTAAGTCCTGGATGCTGAAAGCCTGCTCATTTTCACACCATTCACGTGTTCACTAACAGGTGTTCATTTGGTTGTCACAGGCATTTTTTTGTTGTTGTTAGTTCTCCAATCTAACAGTTTCTCCGTCTTTATCTTTTATTACCTTGGAAGAGGGCTGCTGTGTTATTTTGTAGAACGTCTCAGTTTGGGTTTGCCTAATGTTTTCTCCTGACTGTTGAGGTTGTGCATCATTGGGAAGAACACTACAGGGGTGATGTGTCCTCCTCAGAGTAGAAGGTCCCATGATGTTGGTGTATCTTAGCACTGGCGATCCTCACCTGAACCACTTGGTGAAGGTGGTATCTGCCGGGTTTTTCTACTGCAAAGTTACTATTTTCCACTTGTAATGAATAAATGCCTTAGGAGAGATACTTTTGAGACTCTGCTAATATTCTGTTTGTCCTCAAACTTCTGTATGCTAATTTTAGCATCCACTGGTGGCTGTATCTTGCCTGCAACAATTGCTCTTTTGATATTTCCCTAATGGTGATTTTTGTATATCCCTTATTCCTTCTACACGTATTAATTGGAATTATTCTTCTTCAGAAAGTCCTGTCTTCTCTCGTTATTTCTTTATTCAGTTATTAATTTACATCTATATGCATTCATAAATACTTGTTTTAATCTAGTATATTTTTTTTAAATGTGGTAAAAGATCCCAATTTCTGATGAATCCCTAGCATTGCCTCTCAAACTGCAGGAAGATTCGCATTTTTCCTACATGGTCACCAGGGCCTTAGGGAACTGGAAAGGAGACAGAATTTCATTTGTTCATTAATTTGTTTCTTTCTCCCAACAAATATGAACTTGAGCACCTACTGTTAGGTTCTAGGCCCTGGGGATCCAGGAATGAACAAAACAGACAAAAATCCTTTCTCTAAGGGAACTGACATTCTACTGGAGGATAAAACAATACATAAAAAATAGATATGAGCTAAGTTAAATGAGGGATAAGCACTATAAAAGTACTTAGAAGTGTATTGACATCCCTAATCTGAAAATCCAAAATGCTTCAAAATCTGAAACTTTTTGATTGCTGGCATGATACTCAAGTGGAAAATTCCACAGCTGACCTCATGTGACAGGTCATAGTCAAAACACTGCAATACAAAAATAGTATATAAAATTACCCTCAGTCGCTATATATGAGGTGTATATGAAATTTAAATGAATGTCATGTTTAGACTTGGGTCCTGGCCCCAGGATTTCTCATTATGTATATGTATATGTATGTGTAAATATTCCAGAATCCAAAAAAATCCACATTTCAACACTCTGTGGTCCCATGCATTTCAGATGAGAGATCCTCAGCCTGCATATAGTAAATGAATAAAGCAGGGATGGGGACAGGAGGCATAGAGGGAAATGTTAGAGTGATGGGGGAAGGCCTCTCGGAGAAGTCCTCGAACAGAAGAAGGAATGAGATGGTGCTCACCTGGGAGAGCTGCACAGATCACCTTTACTTCTGAACAGGGTTTCAGGAATCCTGGCAGATAGGAAGATGTTTTCCCTCTCTGAGGTCTAGCCTTGGCTCACCTCTAGTCCATTGCTGCTCTGTGGAAATGCCAAGCATTGCCAGATCTTAGGATATGTTTTCCCCTGGTAGAAGAGAAAAATGAGAAATTTTTGCTAGCTTCCTAAACCCAAATTATGCTACATCAGGTATTTCAGTTGTGGTACATGGATGAATACATTTTGTTTCGTTTCATTTTTAAATTACCTTTCTTCGTGGTAGAAAATGCCAATTTTTAATTTTTTGGTGAGAATATAGATTCTTTTAAAAATATATTTAAGTTTAGAAGTGAATTGATTGAAAGAAAACATTTAGTACATAATTGTCCAGATGGGATGTGTGTAGAAGCAACTGAAAGGGAAGGGTGGAACACAAGGACTTAGGTTTGGTGACACTATCTTGGCTTGGCCTTCCACTCTTTTTCCTCTCGGTCGAGGTTGGCAAATGATTATCAAGGGTGTGAGCCTGGAGCTACTGGTATCATGGTGGATGCATCAGCCAGGAAGGCTTTCAGCCCTAGCGACAGGAAACATGGCTTACAGCAACTTAAATGAATGACTGATTTCTGTTCCATCATGGCCAACCTGGAGATACCTGGCTGCCACTGTTAGTTCGAAGCTGAGCAGTGTCAAGACTGGAGCTTCCTTGGTTCTCTTAGCCTTTCCCCTCATGGCCATGGAGTTGCTGCTGCAGTGTCAGGCAGGACAGAGGGGAGGATCTACCCCAGTGACTCATGCGGACCACTTAAGCACTCAGAATCCCTCAGGAGACACTACTCTCGTTGGCCAGAGTATGTCTATACCCTCCTCAGTTCCAAGCAAGGTGGGAATTTTATGTAACTTTTCAGCCTTTCCTGAGGAGGAGGCCAGAGAAAAAGGGAATTGAGAGTGTCAGCTGGTTAGCTGGCCAACAGTGTCTGGCTCTGAGGGAGAAGAAAAGCGGCGATAATTAGCATTAATGGGCGCTAACTGTGCCAAGCCCTGCTGTTGGCACTTCACGTGCATGATCTCATTCTGTCTTTACCACTACACTATGATGTCACTGCTGTGATAAACCTGTGGTAGTAATGAGAAAACTGAGGCCCAGAGTGGTGCAGCCACTGGCCAGTCAGAGGAGCTGGCCTGGGTACCCTGTATCCTGTCTCCAGAGCCCTCACTCTTGGTCACTACACCTTGTTGCCTCATAAGAGGTCCGGGGATTGGGAATGGAGAGTCCGGCTGCTCGCTTTCTGGCTTCAGTGTAAGTCTTTTTGCAAGGGAGGAACAGGGCAGCATATTTTGCTGTGAGGAAGTTGCCATAGTGAAAAAAAATAAAAGCTTTCTTGTAAATCATGTCCGCCTCCAGTAACTACCTCCCTGTGGTTCCGGTTCAGTTCTGGTGACCAGCACCAGCCACATCTCTTTTTCCTAGTAGCCCTTCAGGGGCTTACAGATGGCCTCCCTTGTCAGGACAGACTGGACCTGTGCTTTTACTCATTCTTCCTAGAATGAGGCTTCCAGCCTTGTTGCCTTTCTCTGGAGTTGTCCTGGTTGAGTCAACATGCATGTAACGTGTGCCTCCTCTTTGCCATCCTGCAGTGTAGTCAGGATGCAGCTCAGTTGCTGGGTGGGCCCTGTACTCGTGGAGCTCCTCATCCAG